TATATATATATGTATATATATATATATATATATAAGGTTACACGATCTCAGTATTTACCTATTATTCATTACTGTGTGAATCAATATCTTTCACTCTTCCGTCACTTATACCCATTATTCTTTGTTTAGACTATACAAATAAATAAAAATATAACTACAAGTGTAAAAATTAAGTACAGTTATAAATACAAATGTTAATGACTGAGCAAACACAAAAATATATATATATATTTATACTTATATTTATAAATTGTAATTATGTGTTTAAATAACAAAAGAAATATTATATGTACAGTTTATATGATGCTTGCGGTACGTCAGGTACAAATAATGAACGATAAGCTGTATTGAATAGGGAGACGATTGAAAAAATGAAGAAGTTTAAAGAAAAATCAAAAAATAGGCAATACTTAGAGAAGAGGTGGTTAGAGAAGCAGAGAAGTTTTGTAAGGGACAAATGGAAGAAAATTGTGCCGCGTTGTCGCGCGATAAAATTATTGTACGATGGCGAAGTTCAATTCTAACTCGTGCACTGGTGGTGGCCACCTAATTGAAATTCCGCCCGCATTTCTTAAAATTACTTTATGTTCTTTTAGTCTGTGCTCTTTAGCCTTCATATTTGTTCTTTGTAAATCCATTTTCTCAGCTATTTTGTGTTTTTTAAGACTGGCCTCACATAACGGAGCAGATACCATATATTTTGCAAATTTTTCCCACCGCTGAAGTAAAGTTTTTGGATGGGTTGACAGCGTAAAATAATGACCTACACTTACAGCGGTACAAAGTTCGTTACCTTGTGACAAGGTTGTCGCAAGGCAACAAAGCATAGCCTGTCTTTCCCCTTAGTCCTCTACAAGGTTTTTCCGCCCATTAAGCCACTTCGTCATTCCAAATAGTCCATAACAAAATCTATTACCACGGCCTACTATTTACTCACATAAACAACAAAACCCTTCTTCTTTATTTTTTTGTCTGCTCTTTCAGCATTTATCAAATAACAACCAAGAGAAAGATGATTAGAGATAGATTTTAGACGGAAAAAACTAGAAGATTTAAGAGAAGAAACTTTTTGCTTCTTCTTTTCTTTTTACAGATGACTTTTAAAGATGAACAATTGTGTTTCACAGTTTATTAAACTGCTGCAAAAAGTAGAATAAACAAAGAACACAAATGTTCATCTCCAAAGTTATCCGTAACAACAACAAAAAAAGTTTCTTTTTTTACTTCTTTTTGTTTCGCTTTTTTTTCCGTTTTCTTTTTTATCGTACTTCTTTCAAATTTGTTCCTTACCCAAATCTTATCTTCGTTTTCGCCATCCATTTTAATCCCATAACCTTTTAATTGATAAAAGCAGATATCAGAAAACAAGAAAATAGCGAAAAAAAATTAATAGGAAATGAAAAAGAACAGAACAGGATCAGGAAAAAAAATTGAAACTAAAGAAATCAAAGATAAATAGTTGTTCAGTTATTCATTTAATCTGTAGAAAGAATTGAAATAGCAAAACAGGTAGATGACAGCACCACTGCACGTTATAGCTCCTTTTTTTTCGCTTCTAAATTTTTCCGTTTTTTTTATCAATTTTTTTTAATAGTTCTTTTTTGAGAAATTTTTGTTTATTTACCTTATTTTTTTACATCGAATTATCAGCTGTCATTTAAAAAGCACCGATAAACTGATGAGAAAAAAAATGGTGTCATCAATGATGATTCAGTAAATTTGATTAATGCAGGAAGAGGAGTCATGAATGACGATCGTTGCCAAAGTGATCGGCACAAGAGTGCCTGCAGGTGACTCAGATTCTATATTACTTGATGCTCTTTTTTATTGTTAAGTTTAGATCACAACAAAAAAATTGAAATCTTAAACCAAAAGAAAAAAGACGGAAAAGGAAACCGATCATTTTTTTTAAATGACGATAAACAGTGAAATAAAGCAGTTTTACTTTAAAAATGGTGCAACTACAGAAGAAGAAGAAGAAGAGGAAGCAAAATTTTTATTGCAGAATTGACTAATGCCTTTCACTATCAATTACTACTGCTTTTCATTCATTTGATGTAAGTTTATAAGAGCAGAAAAAGAAATTCAAAAAAAAAAAAGGAAAACGCAAATACAAACTTCAATTTCTTTTAATTTTTACGGTTAACAATTTAAAAAACATATAAGAAAGCAAATAACTCAGTTTTTTTTGACAAAAAATCTAAAAAGTATCATGCAAATATTTATTTGTTTTACAATTAATGAGGAAAACAAAAGAAAAAAAAAGAAACGAGACGGAATATTTTGTCTAATTTTAAGGAATTTCCAGTTGATAACGGTAACAATAATAGTGATGACTAAAGAAGAGACTATCGAAAAATGAAAGCAAAAGTGAGAAGCGACAGAAAAAAAAGTGGAATACAGAAGCAAAAAAAGCAGTGTTACCGCAATAAAAATGGATACATTGTGTGTCGGTGAAATTGTTGAACTTATTTCTGGCTGACTGATCAAATAATACATGCAAAAAAAATTACAAGTACATACATATGTGAACGAAAAAAAAAAGAAAAATCTACCGCATATACGCAAATGAATAATGATGAATTAATAGAACAAAAGAATAGTGTAATGATATGAACAAATGCTGTACATGTATCCTAATTGTTATACAAAACTATTCAGCTAATCACTAACAGACAACTAATTGAGAAAAGCATTAAACAACAACAGCACATAAAAAACCGGGACAGGAGAACGGAGTTGCTGGGGAGATGTTAGGGGTGGGAGATGGATAGGGTATGGATGGAATGGAATCGACGGGAAGGTGGGGAAGGGGGGCCGGTTGCGGACATAATGGCTGTGATGCCGATGATTTTGATGCTGTTGCTGTTGCTGTTGTTTTTGCTGTTGCTGTTGCCGTTGTCGTTGCCGTTACCGGCGATGAGAAGGATTGAAGAACGGACGAAAACGATGGAAAA